CGCTTTTTCAGACCGATGAGCTTTGTAAAAATCGACGCGTTTCAAAAAGGCGGGGCATAGAGGAGAAACTTCTCAGTGGTAGTGTAAAACAACACCCTTTTTATCTTGTCAAAAACAGCACTGTTCACAGCGACCCATTTCGGTGCATGTTCCTTTAAATGATAATGAGCTCTGCTCACCCCGCCCCTCTCTTCTGTGGGGTGTAGGGATGGAAATTTTGATTCTTTCAAGAGATTTGTTCATTTTCAGTTCGTTCACCAAAATGATTCGTTCAGATTTGTTCAGTGACCATTTCTACATATTACATAAATACGCCAGCAGGTGGCGAAAAAGAGTGTCTTATGTGTTGTGTCTTAAGTCAATGAACGTATTCACTTGTTACAAAAACTGATTTGGCTTTATTCAAATCTGTGCATAATCTAATAAATAAAGTCTAAATAAGTTGTTCAGATGACCAAAGCACAAGGTTTTCTTGCATAGTTAACATTTTAATTGTTTGGTCAGACAATTACACATTCATAAATCGGGGATTAAACGTGGAGTTATGTTCTGTATTCTAAATATGAATATAAACAAGCGTATGTGCACAGTACCTATAACTGCGCTTTGCATCTGATTTCTGCTGATTGCTGATCAAGATTGACATGCTAAATGGCCAACTGACCAGGTACACTCTCGTTCATTTCGTTCACAAATGAGATATGTAGCAGTTCGGTCATTTAATTCACGAACGAGATGTAGCAGTTCATTCAACTCGTTCACAAACGACATGTACCAGTTCGGTCATTTCATTCACGAATGAGATGTAGCAGTTCATTCAACTCGTTCACGAACGACATGTACCAGTTCGGTCATTTCGTTCATGAACGAGAAGATCTCTCGATCTCGTTCAGACTCAAAAGAAACTCGTTCAGTGAAGGGCGTATTCGTTCACTACATTCAACAAATCACATGCTCCGTCACATTCTTTGACAGGATGAAACAGTCCAAAGAGCTACCCGGTTCACTGAACTGCGCATGCGCTGCCAATAGCGCCGCGCTGCTGTGGAGGGAGGAATTTCAGTGAACGAGAAATATGAGTCAATGGATTACGTGAACGAGAACGATTCGTTCACCTAAAAGATTCGTTCAAAAAGAATGATTCATTCACGAACTAAACATCACTAGTGGGGTGACGAGCCATTCTCTGAGACTGTAAACTTTAGCTGCATTCGTCGCAGAACTTGCTAACTAGCACATTATTAGTAAAGGAGATTTGCAAAGATTCATAAAAAACCTTATACTCACTTCTTCTGTAGGTGAAGCTGGATGACGAATGATTCGCGTGAACATAGACATTTAGGTATATCAGGGGGCACATTCCCTTCACAAACAAAAGTAATCCACTGCATCTTTAGCGGCTCAGATGTCGGGAGTAAATGACGACTGCTATGTTCATTATCATATCCAACAACAAAACACCTCAATCACTCAGAAGAAATTCTTGTCTACTTCTGCTCCGGCGTCAAAACAATGGCAGACTGTTTACAGATCACTCAGGGCGGGTCTAAGGTAAAACACCAGTGTCAATCAACAATCGTGGGAGGGGCCTGTGCAGAACTACATCACTCTGCCATGAATCTGTGAATGGCTTAATCTGAGATAGGAGTTATTATTTATGGGGATTTTTTTTTAAAACACTGGGTGTATTTTTGTCATTATAGGGTGGTTGTGTACACACACTGCCAAGACACATTTCAGTTCAAACAACATGTAAAAGTGAATTTAGCATCCGATGACCCCTTAAAAAGGACATATTCTTAATGATGTATGCGGACAAAAAAATTCGAATATTTTTGTCAATATCGCACACCCCTACTGTCACAGTAATATTTTATGGTTCAATATGGTGCAGCAGCAGCATTATGTGTTCATAACATACCATCACTGTTCACCCACAACCCCCAAAGCCTGCTACACCTATTCCTGTTTTTAGCTTACCACAGCATAAGAGAAGAGAAAGATGGAGTCCAGAGCACCCAGGAACAGCGTGGCCTCTCCCGCATCAGCAAACAGTTTGTTTTCCACCCATGTCTAAAAATATAAACAAAAATAAGTGTGTAGCAACATTATTTAGATTATATTTTCAACTGAAAGGCCTATATTGGACTTAGCCTAAGTGCTTTGTACAACTATATTGCTAGTTGTGAGAATGTTAGTTCGCATTTTTGCCAAACAGAAAGAATATAGTGCTTGAATACTGATGTAATGCTTGACTTAATGAGTTGGCCTCTCACAGATTTCCGAATGGTGACCACAAAAATATTAATCTGAATGAAAATACTAATGTGAAATATAATATTGATACAGTTTTGTGAGGTACAGTTACATTTAGTCATTTTGCAGACGCTTTTATCCAAAGTGACTTACAATTGGGGAATACATAAAGCGATTCTTCTTAAAGAGGCAAACAGACACAGGAAGTGCTTGTAATACCAAGTTTTAGGCATTGTTCAAATAAGTACAAGCTAGAGAGGGAAGGAATAAATAAAGAGAAAGACAGATATATATTTTTTTAATTTAGGTATTAGGTATTATTCATAAGACGAGTATCAGTACAGCATTTTGAGGATAAAATATTACAATACTTTGAATCAATGTTTTTCTCACCTCTACCTAGCTGAACACATTTTCTCCATAGCATGCAGTGACAAAATAAGAATAATACATGCATTGCTCGGTTTTTAATAAGATCATAATGTTAAGATCATAAAGATCATAAATAAATGTAGGGGCAGGTTTTGTGGTATGGTTAGGTTTAAGGGGTAATTACAGATGACAGTTTTTTCAAATATAAGTACAATGTAAAAACATGTATGTACATAATAAATGCATTGTATCAAATGATTAAATTAAATGTAAGATCATAATAGTTAAGGACACTTAATATATATTGGGTCCCATATTCCAAAAATGTAAACCATAAAAGAAAATTTGAAAGCCTTTATATAGACACAGAGTACATTTTCATTACACTAAAAGAGGCAGTCTAGTTCTCTTCTGGGTTTTATCTGAGATCAGACTTTCATATCTGTAAAAAAATTATTCTTATGTAAAATACATAGTTTAAAATGTGTTACTAGTGAATAACAACAACAATAGTAATAATAATATCATTCCTACTATCATATCTATGAGGCTAGGGAAAATGTTACTCATTTAGATGGAAAGAAATTATTATTTTTTTAATTAAAAAGTTAGACAAAGAATGGGCAGTGTGTATTATATCCTTACCTCCCCAGGAGACAAAGACGAAGTGCTGCCGTTCTGCTGGAATGCTGATGGTGTCCACTGTGCTGAGATGCTCACTTTCACATTACTGAAAGTCTTACGTGACGAGTGAAGCAGGACATAGCTGGATAGAGAGTGGATGTTATTAATTACACCAAGTCATTCCATTTAAACTTCAAAACCATATGGCACCAACAGGAATACAAAGCAAACATTTCTAAGAACATGGCACATGTATTTTAAACTACATTTTCTTTTTAAAACATTTTTCTATTTCTTTATCATGAATACTCTTATACGCTGCCTTGCGAAAGTGTTTACACCCCTTCACTTTTTCGCTAAAATGCTTTAAATAGTTTTTTTTTCCCCACAAATTATTTACACGCCACACCCCATAATGACAAAGTCAAAATGTGTGATAACTTTGCAAATTTACTGAAAATAAAAAAACTAATATAATTACACTGGATAACTATTCAAACCAAATCTTGTGGCAGTTTTTGCAATGTTTCTACACTTTAGTTGCAAAAAGCAAAAATCAAATCATGAGGTCAAACGAACCACCTGCAGAGCTCAGAGACAGATATTGGGAAGACTACAAAAACATTTTTTTTTCTGACGATGCTACATAATATGGGGGGGGGGGTTATTGTGTAAATAGGGCTTTTTTAAAAATCTAATTAATTACATAATGTGCCGATTAATTCATCAAATGAATCTCAAATTTATGAAATTAATTAATTAACATGCACATCATGTGCTGATTAATTAAATATATAAAGTATAAAGTTATTATTAAAGATATTTTAAAGTTATCATTGTTTTAATTTAGAAAAACACTGAATAAATATTTTTTTAAAAGTAGCTTTACAAAGAAATAATTCAACATACAAAAATACAGAAATATGAATTGTTTTTTTAAAAAAGAAACAATACTCTAAATATAAAACTAGAAGCGCCAGTAGGTGGCAGCAAATCAAATACGTGAGTCATTCATTCAATCGATTCGTTCAAAGGGCTAATTCATTCAGAAAGAAGCAAATGACTGCCTTTATGAATGGCTCACTGAATCGTTGACTCACTCGATTCATTTAAAAATGTGGATTCATTAATGAAACACCACTCTGGGTTGATCAGAGACGCACGATTTTCCTAGGGCTTTATTTTCGTTGGCAAAATTACTGACAATGTGTCTAAAATTTAATTATTCGCACCTTTACCTTATATTCTTTTTAAGTAAAAATCTATTTTTTTTTCTTTCTACCAGCCAATGATGACTCTGAAAGAAAACGCACAGTATTTGTTATAGTAACACATGCAACTTTTACGCACATCTGACTGACAAAACCCTGCACTTGTATTTCAGCGCTGCTGTTAATGTTATGGTAATTTTAGCAAATAGTTTGCTCCGTAAATTCAGTTCAACAGCATTAAGTTGAGGAGGGTAAATTTTATCAGTCGACTGAATCTAAACATGCATTTTATGTGTTCTTACTCTGTCCAAGCAAAAAATGCATGCCTATAATTGAGCACTGTAGCATATTTACTTCAACAGGTCAGGTAATGTGTAGCTATGACCCATTTCAGGGGCTTTACATTTTCAAATCAGTCAGGGCTATAGAAATGTATCTTAATATTTACAAGTAAATCTCCATATTATGCATAGGGAACTTTCTATCCGACCCCCCTACATCTAGTTTTGACATCCATCAGGAGGGATCAAGTCTTCTTTAGGGGGTCAGACCCCACCAAACCCCCAGTAATTCGCACCGATTATAACCAATTATAAACTTCTAGGTTCCTGTATAACAGCTAGATTAATCATATAACATTTCAAGAAGTCCGCTGTTTAAATGACACAAAGAACTTTGTGCTACATGTCATCTAAGATCAAAGATGGCAAACAAGACAAAGTTCAATATTCTTATTATGTACAATAAAACACTGGCTGTTGACATATGTCAGTAAACCATGAATGTAAAGCATTTTTTCAACACCCAAGGACCTACAAAAACACTATTGGCCAACACAGGGGCCACAATAATAAAGAAAAGCTAGATATGGTCAGTAACATAGCCAGAAACTCATTACCATGGTAAGAACGTAGGGCGGTAGGAACAAGACAGCATACCTGAGGAACGTGAGGAGGAAGGCTAGCAGGTGATGATAGGTATAGGGGGGCCACATTATATGGGTCTGGATCAAGAGGGGGAGGAAGTGAAGGATCTGAAGTCTTCAGGACACTCTACTGCACCATCTACAATCACTAAACATCCAATCACTGTAAAATCTATCCATCGATAAATGAATCAGCGTTCTTACTGTGGTACTCTAATGCTCGTCTGCAAATGAATATACATATTTACAGTCGTCCACAGATACGCTCATAGGAAGCATCAATACTCACCCTTTAAATCATTTGCAGCGATTTGATCTCTGACTGGAAAATATCGCCATTATTTTCCGATGCTGGATGCAACGTAAACACGCGCTAAAGCGTAAACACGGACGTAACCCGGATGTTGAAAGTTTGAAAATAAAAGTCACTTTATTACTGATTTAAGCGCAAAATAGAAGCAGATGTTCTTAATATTTTGTTAAGATACCAACCTCCTTTTCCCCACCCATTTTAAATTGGTCTCTTACATCTTTATAATATAACAAAAGCAGTAACAGCAATAATTATTAACGCTAACATTTACTAAAAATAATAACAATACTCGAACATTCAACAATAGCAAACACCATAACAAAACAAAACAACAACAATTAAAAAGAAAATGAAGACAAGAAAATAATAACAGCAAAAGTCTATGGAGGGGGCCAGAGCACGTTACCGTCTGCCGTTGTTTTTACAATTATATTTTGTTGTAGTTAATGAAATAGTAAAGTTAATTAAAAGTTAATTAATTTGATAATATATTTTTATAACAATGAACATCAATTCAACAGGTGTATTGTAATGTATTCTTATACATAAAGGGCTTTAGATCCTGATAATGTCATAATGGCGTTCTCTTGAATTTTACCACATAACTAAGGTGTCAATCCTTTATTTATTTTTTTATTGTGCATTTGATGTTCAAATGATATTTAAAAATGACACTGCACCTCTTTTGTTTTGTACGATTTTTAATTCCCACTTTAAGTCATGTCAACACATTGTTTCTGTTTAGTATATTCATATTAATATTCAGCATATTTCATTAATAGTTGCTAACTGAGGATAATTCTAGCTTTAAATTATCTTAGAAAAACCTAAATCTAAAAGAAAAAAAGTAGGCTCCAAACCTATATTCTAGAGAAAATATCCACAACACGAAACTGTTTTACACATCAGTAATGCAAGAAAATGTTGCAGCTGCTCTTCAAATGACTGTTGTAATGAAACAACTGCAGCTCTCACAAGTTCAAGGACATCAGCTTGGCAGGACACAAAGTTGAAACATGTTTTAATTAAAAGAGATAGTTCACCCCAAATCAAAAATGCTGTAGTTATTTACTCTATGTCTGCAAGTATTCTGTAGTTGTATAACAGCTTTGTGTGGGAAACAGAGCAAACTTAAGTTGTTATTCAGTTGTAATTCTCCCCTTCTTTCTAACCGACTCAATCCGGTCACAGTTAATAGCTCAGTAGAAGGGCATGAAAACAATAATTTCAATTTGTTACTCGCACAAATGAGTAAAATGACTTCACAAGACTTGGAATTTAGTGCATAAGCTGTAAGGACTATTTTATTCATACGATCCTGTCTTTTTTTGTTTTTGTCATTTTTAGAGCTTGTAATGAACTGTCAATTGGAAAACACTTGTGTAAAGATTCTTCTAAAAAGTCATTCTATTCCACAAGAAAAAAAACAGCATATGGGTGTAGACATGGACTCAGGTCATGAGGGTGAGTAAATAATGTAATTTTTAGAGAATTCTTTTAAAAAAAAATTTTTGGGGTGAACTATTGCTTTAAAGATCATGGTTGATTTCACTCCACACAAGGCACTCAGGATGACAAAATGATTCAAGTCAAACACTGTGGCTCTTCATGTGCCTGTTTAGGTGTGTACGACACGTGTAAGCCTTTGGGCACAGAGGACATGGGAACGGCCTCTTCCCAATATGAGTGTACATGTGCTTGCTCAAGTCATAACGTCGGATGAATCGTTTCCCACACTGCAAGCAGCAGTGTGGACGCTCTCCGGTGTGAAAGCACATGTGCGCCGTCAGGTGACTCGAAACAACAAATTTCTTGCCACAGATTTTACATTGATACGGCTTCTCTCCTGTGTGAGAGCGCAGATGCACCTGCAGGCATCCGGCGGAGACAAAACCCTTTCCGCACTGATGGCAAACGTACGGCTTCTCCCCGGTGTGAATTCTGATGTGGATCTTCAAATTCCCAGACAGTGAAAACTGCTTCTCGCAGTAAGGACAGACGTGCGGCCGCTCACCAGAATGACATCTCATGTGAGATTTTAATTGGATTTTGCTGTAAAATCGCTTTCCACATTGCGAACAAAGGAGAGGTTTCTCACCCGTGTGGTTTGAGAGGTGGGCAAGCAGGCTGCTGTTCGCCGAAAAGCACTTCCCACACTGGTCGCATATATATGGCCTGAACTCTGCATGGGTCTTCAGATGGCTTCTTAATTCGCTGTCAATGTTGAATGTCAAGTCACAAAAACGACACTTTCCTGGCTGCCGTTCCGGTTTAGAAGGGCGGACGTCTTTAACTTTGTGAATCTTCTGGTGGATTACACTGGCTCGGTACGACCCAAAAGTCTCGTTGCATTGTTTACAGGTGTAGTTCCTTTTAACAGTGGGAGTTCGGTGAGTTCGCCGGTGACCGACTAATCGTGACAGACTAGTGAACAGCCGTCCACATTCAGGGCACTTATGTGTGGTTTTCTTCTCTTTGTGCACTCGGTTGTGCCTGTATAGGGTCCTGAGGGATCTAAAGTGGGCTGTGCATTTGATGCACTTAAAAACTCTGGAATTGCAGTTGGTGCTCCTGTGTGACACCAGCTGCGCTGAATCGTCAAAAACCTGCCCACACTGAGGACACTCATGGGTCCCCGCTTGGGTGTGAATTTCCTGGTGCTTGACGAGATCAGAGCGATAGATGAAGTATTTTGTACACTGCTGACATTTATGTACAGTCCTGCCTGCATAGTGGAAGCCTTTGGAAGGTGTGTTTGGGAAGGTGTCAAGAGAGGGCAGTTGGAGAGGCACAGCTGTCTGAAAAATTAAATCACCTAGAGGAAAACATGACAAACAGAAACGGCTTGCTTTAAAGATCCTGAAAAGATATAATGAGAATCTCGACAGACATTCAGAGGCTGTACCTCTATGAGCATCATCGGTGGATGACGGCACACTTGGCTCTTCTGAGTTAGTCCTACAAAAAGAATACACAGGATCTACAACAAAACTATTTATATTTTAATTTAGGAACACTACAGAACAAATTCTGTAGTGAAGTGCTCAAAGTCCTCACAAAAAAAAGAGAATTTTAGATTACAAACAGACTAATTATTGGGGATATTACTCACATCAGATATTTTGACAACAAATTTATTGTTGAATGTTGTAAAAATTCTTGCTCAAGATACAATCTCAGAAAATTCTCAGAAGTTGCCTTTAAAGGGTTAGTTCACCTAAAAATGAAAATTCTGTCATTAATTACACACCCTCATATCTTCCAAACCCATAAGACCTTCATTCATCTTCGGAACACAAATCAAGGTATTTTTTATGAAATCTGAGAGCTCTCTGACCCTGCATAGACAGCAACACAACTAAAATGTTCCCAAACCCAGAAACGTACCAAGGACAACGATAAAGCAGTCCATGTGACATCAGTGGCTCCAGGGCCTTTTCTAGGCATAGAGTTTCACAGCCACCAGCTGAAGGGACGCCAATGAGCGCACGTACTGGCACTTTTAGCAGGGTTGTGATAAAGAGTGGCACGGTCACCCTGAAATATGACTGCCGCCCCCACTGGATCCCCCAACATTATTGGGCTAGAGTACTGTCAATCTGACAATGCCTGTAGTCCACTAGATCAGAGTGCTGTCAATTGCTGCCTGATTGTTGCATGCAAAGTTTGCATTTGGAGCGCTCAACAACGCCATTAGATCAGTGGGCTCCGTCAGTGCCTTGACAAGGTAACACTTTTTTTTTGCCATGCAATAAAGCTAAGTTCAAAGGCCAATTTAAAATACTGGTACAGTAAATAAAGTACACAAAATCAGTATTTTGTTTATAGTGTAGTATAGGCTATTTGTGGCACATTTGTCCAAATATTTGTGGCAGATTTGTCCAAAAGGTGTGCACAGTCAATTTACAAATAATGCATTCAGATTTGTGGAACTCAATGCACTGAACCTCCACAAATTAGTGTCGTTACTATGACAACAAATTTGAATGTGACAAGCAACTGGTGTCTGAAAATAATTATATAATAGGGATTTCGCCTAGGGCATCAAATTGGCTAGAAACGGCCCTGAGTGGCTCAACTTCAATTTTGCAAAGCTACAAGAATATTTTTGTGCCAGAGAAAACAAAAGTAAGAATTTATTCAACAATTCTTTTCCCCGAGTTAATGTCTTCCACCATTTTGGAGAGTACCAACGACGCTATGCGTGCGCTTTCCCCAGAACGTAATCAACATAATCAGCATTGTTTACATTCAGGAGAAAGCGTGTGCATGCTGAACGTAAACAATGCTGATTACATTGATTACATTCTGGGGAAAACAATTCTCGTTTTCTTTGCACACAAAAAGTATTCTTGTAGCTTTGCAAAATTGAAGTTGAGCCACTGATGTCACATAGACTGTTTTATCGTTGTCCTTGGTACGTTTCTGGGTCTGTTAACATTTCAGTTGTGCTGCTGTCTATGCAGGGTCAGAGAGCTCTCAGATTTCTTCAAAAATATCTTAATTTGTGTTCCGAAGATGAGCGATGGTCTTACGGGTTTGGAACGACATGAGGGTGATTAATGACAGAATTTTCATTTTTGGGTTAACTAACCCTTTAAAGGCATCAACACTCAAAATAACTTCATTTGATAATGACCATCCACCAATGACTCCAATGGGACCCCGATGACTTTCATTGTTCCACAGAAAAAATTCATAAACAAAACTTAAACATGAGGGTGATAGAAATTATTTTGGACTAGCCTATTCATTTATGCTAAATACATTACAAAATAAATAAGAATAAACAAATAAAATAACCCCAACCACCTAGTAATATGGTAACTTACCGTTGCAATTCATCGACATTAGAGTTTGCTTCTTTTTCTCCATCACTGTCTCTAGAGGACTCTGAGGACTCACTGCTGAAGCTGGATCCCACATTCTGGATGTTTGGATCACCAGTCACAGTTTCCTTGTCGACACCATGTTGTTGGTTTGGCAGGTTTTCAGAATCAATTGGCAGTAACGTGCCATCATTGTTGTGCTGATTTATAATGATTGAGTCACCAACAGGCGGCAATGACAAAGATGACACTATTCGATCCTCCACTATTGATGGAA